ACAGAGATTCTTACTGTTGTTTTTTTTTTTTTTTTTTCCTCGTGGACCCTTTTGAAAGTCTGGTGAATTTCATGGAGCTCTTTTCACAGTAAATTTTTATTTTTAAAAAAATTTATTTGTTCAAAAGACAGAGAACCTATTGTTTCACTGTGCAAATATCCACAAAAACCAGTGCTGGTCTAGACTGAAGCCAGGAGCTAGGAACGCAACCTAGATCTCCCACATGGGTGTCAGGGACCCAAGTCCTGGAGCCACCACTACTGCCTCCCAGGGTCTGAAATGGCAGGAAGCTGGAATGGCCCATGGAGCCAGGACCCAAACCCGCACACTTCAAGATGGAATGTAGGCATTCCAAGTATTTTGTTTTAGATGTCTGAAATGACATATGCAGAACTACAAAAGAAAGCAGTTATACTAAAGAAGTTATCAAAATGTGCCCTACAATGAAAGGTATCCTTGTTATTCTGTGATGTTTGACAAATACATTCAGCCCATCGACTAACACTATAGACAAGATGTAAGAAACGGTTCTATCAATGCAAGAACTTGCCCAGTCTCTTTGTGGTCAGTCCTTCCCTCCGCTTCCAATCCTGGTGATCACTGGTCTATCTTCTCTCCTATGAATTTTTTTCTGTTCTGCAATGTCATCTTTTGGCTCAGTCTTCTTCCACTTTGTGTGTTGCACTTGAGATTCATCCAGGTTGTCTCATATAGCATCAGTAGTTCAATCCTTTTTGTTTCTGTGTAGTATTCAGTATATCATTGTGCCAGAATCTGTTTGTCCGTTCATTCCCTGAAGGGCAGACTTTTTTGTGATTAAGAGTAAAGACCCTATAAATATTCATATACAGATTTTGTGTGTGTGTGAACATAAGTTTTCATTTCTCTTGGGTAAATAAGGATTGCTGCATCTATTTGCTTGAAAACTCCCAAGTTTTAGCACATTCTTGAAAATGCACAACTATTTCTTTTAAATTCATAACAAAGGCTGTATTCAAAATGAAAGTACTTTCTTCCCAGGAGATTTTTCCATGTGTTTCGATCAGTGAGAGGAATGGTTTGTTCACTAGCAAAGTCACTGTTCATAATAATTTCATTAGCACTTTAAAAAGTGTCTTGGCTGTCAATGTAGATGACACATATTCTTTTGGCTGACTTGACTCACCTGATGGACATTGTCCTACTACGGGAATGGAGTGACAGTCTTGCTGCAGATGAAGTCTCGGTGTGCTCTTGTTGGTCACTCTGCCAATACCCAGTAGGAGCCCTTGGTCTGATGCAGACTGAGGGGCTGACCACTCTGTCTTACAGGCTTTTCCTTGGAACAGGGGCAAGGGTGGAGGTGGCAGACTCCAGACTTCTTCAGAGAACTTGTGTTAATTCTGCTGTCACCAGTGAACCATATGAGCTATGAGCTGAGCAAGCCTTTTGTCTCTGTGGGCATCCATTTTAGAGCTCACCCTAAGGCAAGATGAATAAAGTGCTCAAGGCGCAGAAGTACAGAAGGCACTCACCTTGGGGCTGGCCCTGCACCTTCATAATACTGTGAGCACCGCTTCCTTAAGTGCTGCCCCCCAGGGCTTCACTTGCCCAAGTTCAGGTTGTAGTCATCTATATAGTAAGGAGGTAGGTTCCATAATCTTTCCTAGCATTAACTTTTTATGACCCAAACTAATGCTTAGGACAACACACAAGCAAAATAAGATTTAAATGTATTCAGTTGATTTTGGATAAGAGCCATGTTTGATAATGGAGACCAAAAATACATTTTTCTTTTAACAGGAGGACATACTGCCTTTTCCTTCCACTTCAGAAAGGCTGTGTGGATGTTCTCCAGCCACCCTGTAACCTCAGTTCTACCCATGGTCCTCAGCTCACTGGTTACAGTACTTTTCTGTGGTGCATAACCCAGATCATTCCTTCTCTTGCCCTACGATGATAGATTCCCATGTACAGTCTAAGAATTCTCAAAATGTCTGTCTGTGTGGGTTGATGTGGGCAGAGATATTAAGAAGTACACTATCTACAAACACCCTTAGGAGTGATACTTGTTTTATTCTGAATTTGAAATAATGAGGAAAGATGGTATTAAAATATTTTTAAAAAGCTAATAATTTGTGAGATTATGGTAGATTGCTTTTTTATTTGGGCATTCAATGACAAGATCAAGTCTTTAAGTTATAAAATTGTAATTTCTGTAGTGTGTGTACCTTCAGGAGAGAGTCTAGAAGTAGAATTGCTGGGTCCGAGGGTAAATGGGCCTATGTAATTTTCCAGGTATTGCCAAAGTCCCCCTCCAAAGGGAATGAGCCCTTTGCTTTCTGCTGGTGCTGTAGGAGTGCCTACACCACACAGATTCGTACCAGTCTACATTGGGCAACTAGGAGGATTTTTTTTTCCATTTTGGTGGTTGAAAATAATATCTCATTATAATTTTAATTTACATTTCCCTCACTGTATAAACAAGCTTGAGCATCTTTTCATATGATTACAATTCATTTGTGTTTCTTTTTCTGTGAATTCTGTTTATTTCTTTAGCCTCTGTTTCCGCAACGTTGATGGCTTTTTTCTTTTCTATTTTTGAATCTCTATTTTAAGAAAATTCAGATTTGTTTGCCTTATTAGTATGACTCTTTATTTTCCATATGGAATGTGCCCTTTAACTTACATGTAGTATTTGTTTCTTTTTTTTAATTTTTTATTTATTTATTTATTTATTTTTTGACAGGCAGAGTGGAGAGTGAGAGAAAGAGACAGAGAGAAAGGTCTTCCTTTGCCGTTCGTTCAACCTCCAGTGGCCGCCCCGGCTGGCGCGCTGCGGCCGGCGCACCGCGCTGATCCGATGGCAAGAGCCAGGTACTTCTCCTGGTCTCCCATGGGGTGCAGGGCCCAAGGACTTGGGCCATCCTCCACTGCACTCCCGGGCCAGAGCAGAGAGCTGGCCTGGAAGAGGGGCACCGGGAAAGAATCCGGCGCCCCAACCGGGACTAGAACCCGGTGTGCCGGTGCCGCAAGGCGGAGGATTAGCCCTGTGAGCCATGGCGCCAGCCAGTATTTGTTTCTTATCACACATGTTTTAAAAATATAAAAATGTGTCTATCTTTATTCCTTATTTGCTCCTTCTGGATTTTGAGTAACATAATAAGATTTCCCAACTCGCAGATTATGATGGATTTGTCCATGTATTCTTCTGGTAGGTGCATGATTTCATTTAAAATTTGAGATACATTTGAAAACCTGATATGCATTACAAAGAACGATCGATTTTATCATTCTCCAGCTGTACCAAAGCTGCTAATTTCAGTTTTAATCTTTTGTCTGTATTTTGGAAATTATTCCTGTATCATATACTTGATTTCCATGTGCAGTTGTTTCTACTTACAGATTTCCTATTGTTTCATTGGCCTGCCAGTACCTCACTATTTTAATCATAGAAGTTTAGGACACGTTTTACTGTCTGATTAGGCTGGAATTCACTCATTGCTCCTTTTTCCATGTGTATAAAATTGGAGAAAGAGAGAGGGAGAGGGAAAGGGAGAAAGAGAGGGAGAGGGAGAGAGAGAGAGATCTCCCATTTTGCTGGTTCACTCCTGAAATGTCCCAAATATCAGGGAGTGACCCAGCCAAAGCCAGTAGGCAGGAAATCAGTTCAAGGCTCTCACGTAGGTGGCAGTGAACCAAACTCTTGAGCCGTTCGTTACCTGCTGCCTTCCATGGTGTGCATCAAGAGTGGAGCTGTGACTGCATCACAGACACTCGTATGTGGGATGAGGGCATGCAGTGACTTACCAGCTAGGCCAAATGCCTGTCCCACATGCTTCCTTCGGAAGAAGAATAAAATGGGAAGCATCAGTCTGCTTGGTTTTAGAATTTGTTATATAGCCACGGAAATCAAGACAGCATGGAATAGTATTGGCAAAGGGAGACACACAGATGAAGGGAACAGAGTAGAGATCCAAGAAATAGCTCCTCACAAACACGGCTAACTGATTTTTGACAAAGGAGAAACAATAATTCAGGGCAGAAAGACATCCTTTTAACAAATGGTGCTGGAACAATTGGATAGACATAGGCAAAAAAAAAAGAAAGAAAAGAAAAGAGAAAGAAAGAAAGAAAAACAACCTTAACCTAAACTCACATCTTATATACAAATTAAATCAAATGGATCACAAATTTAAATAGAAAACCCCACCTGTTAAGTCTGTGACCTGAGACCAGATAGCCTAGGGCTGCCCGGAGAGGTTTCACATGACATGGATTACAATGGCTCCCCCCCCCATAATTTCTCTCCCACTCGCACCCCTCCCATCTCCCACTCCCTCTCCCATTCCATTCACATCAAGATTCATTTTCAATGATCTTAATATACAGAAGATCGATTTAGTATATATTAAGTAAAGATTTCATCAGTTTGCACCCACACAGAAACACAAAGTGTAAAGTACTGTTTCAGTACTAGTTGTAGCATTACTTCACATTGGACAACACATTAAGGACAGATCCCACATGAGAAGTAAGTACACAGTGACCCCTGTTGTTGACTTAACAATTTGACACTCTTGTTTATGGCGTCAGTAATCTCCCTAGGCTCTAGTCATGAGTTGCCAAGGCTATGGAAGCCTTTTGAGTACGCCGACTTTGATGTTATTCTGACAGGGTCATAGTCAAAGTGGAAGTTTTCTTAAATAACTAGTAGGCCACATGTAAATGATCTTTCAAGCATTCACATTTCATTTTGTAAGAGTAAAACCACAGGACAGATTGCTTGACGCATTAGGTTGAACGCGGCCCATGGCTCCCTTGTGCTGTCTTAGGGAAATGGAAAACCCTGCTGACCACCTCAACCGAATGCCCATACAAACCCAGAGGGGCCAACATTCCTGCACTTGGAAATATTAGCACATTGTGAGAAGAGCAGCAGATCTGCAATGTAAATTGTGAAACATGTTGATTCTGTTTTTCCTGTAACTGTAAACTCAGCATTCTTTTAAGCTCAGAAACAAAAATCATAACATCTAGCACTACCTGTACACGGGATGGGGGCTGGGGCCAGTGCTGCCTGCAGTGCGGGCATCCCATATAGGTACCAGTTCGAGTCCTGGATGCTTCATTTCTGATCCAGCTCTCTGCTAGGGCCTGGGAAAGCAGTAGAAAGATGGCCCAAGTCCTTGGGCCCCTGTACCCGTGTGGGAGACGAGGAAGCTGCTCCTGGATCCTGGCTTTGGATTGGCACAGCTCTGGCCATTGAAGCCATCTGGGGAGTGAATCAGCAGATGGAAGACCTCTCTCTCTCTCTGTGTGTCTCTCTGCCTCTGCCTCTTTGTAACTCTGCTTCTCAAATATAGATACATCTTAAAAAACTAAGGGGGGATGGGTGCCTTTTTCCATTTCACTCTCATAAAGGTCCTACAATTAATCTGTTTATTATCCCATTTTATAAACCCAGGCAGGTAACATTCAGTTTCCCAGTGTCACGAACACCTAGTGTGGTAGCCACTAGGGACACTTGGTGAACATTTCCTATTTCCTATTCATCTAAGTGGGAATGGCCAGCAGTCTCCTTTGGTGGTCATAGCTTAAAACAACGAATTACCCAGGCTGGAACTGTGGTGCACAGGGTTAAGCTGCAACCTGTGGTGCCAGCATCCCGTGTGGGAGCCGGTTTGTATACCAGCTGCTCCACTTCTGATCCAGCTCCCTACTAATGCACCTGGGAAGGCAGCAGCAGATGGCCCAAGTCCCTGGGCCCCTGCGCCCACATGGGAGACTAGAAGAAGCTCCAGGCCCTTGGCTTCAGATTGGCCCAGCTCTGACCGTTGCAGCCACCAGGGGAGTGAACCAGTGCATGGAGGGTCTCTCTCAGTCTCTCTCCTTCTCTTAAAAACATTACCCCACTTCTTGCTTGTTGAGCATCTGGGCTCAGCATCTGTAGAAGACAGAAGATTCATTCTTCAGCACACCTGGAAAACATCTTCTGTAATCTTGCTTGGCATCGTGTGTATTGAAACAGATGTATTAGTCTGCTCAGGAGACAGGAGGGTGTGTTTTTGACTTTTGTGGTGGTTTTGTTTTGTTTTATTTATGATGCAGGGAGGCACCATGGTGAATCTAGAGGAAGGAAAGAGGATGTGTGTGTGTGTGTGTGTGTGTGTGTGTCTAGAAAAAGATGAGCAAGTGCATGAGCAGGACCAAGTCAGGACTGAGATGTGTAGAGCAGCACATGAGAAAAGAACTACACTGACATATGAGGGCTCTTGGAAAATGAATCTAATGAGAAAACTATGCATGGAAATAAAAAAAAGGTTCTGTAGCAAAACAAAAGAAACATCTAGGCATATCTCCAACAAAATATGCAAAATCTCTATGAGGTCACCACAAAGCTCCTAAAAAGGTCTCAAGGAAGAACTAAACATTTGGAGACACATTCTGTGGTCATGGATTGGAAGACTCAATCTAGCCCAGATATCTGTATTTCTTCACTTGATAGACCAACACAGTCTTAATCAAAATCCTATCAATGGGGCCAGCGCTGTGGTGTAGGTAGCGGGTGCCTGCATTCCATATAGGCGCTGCTTCGAGTCTCAGCTGCTCCTCTTCCAATCTAGCTCTCTACTATGGCGTGGGAAAGCAGTAGAAGATGGCCCAAGTGCTTGGGCCCCTGTCATCCGTATGGGGAATCGGATGAAGTTCGGGGCTCCTGGCTTTGGATCAGCACAGTTCCAGCTGTTGTGGGCAATTGGGGAGTGAACCAGCAGATGGAAGACCTCTCTCTCTCTCTTTCTCTGCCTCTCCTTCTCTGTGTAACTCTTTGAAATAAATAAATCTTTAAAAAATCCTATCAAGATGTTTTACAATTACCAAACTGATTTTAAAATGTATGTGGGGATGGAGACACCCAGAAGATCCCACCGCCCTTAACTGAAGATGAACACACTGGAGGACTGATGTGTCACAGCTGCCCTAACTTATGAGACAGCCTGGGACTGGTGAGAGTCAGAATGGTAACCCCAGAAGAGACCTTCACGAATACAGTTATCAGATCTTTGACAAGAAAGCAAACTGATACAATGGAAGAAGTCTTCTTAAGAAAGAGCACCAGGTTTGTGAAATCTCCATTGCAGGAGAGGGCAAAGGACTGTCACCAAAGGCAGGTGGCTTTCAGTGGAGACGGATGCCTGCAGGTCACCCTACACATGGCTGACCAGGGGAGGATGGTTCGAGGCCATAAGCACCAGGAAAGTCTCTAGGTGTGCGTTCCCATTAGTAACAGTGTTTAGGGCTTGCGCCTGGACAGGTGAACTGCCTGCACGTATCTGAGTACACTGCAGTCCACCCAGGAAGCCAGGGCAGAGCAGGGAGCACAGCACAGGCTTGACCTGGACAGGGGCCTTCCCATCACTTTGCCTGCCCTGTAGCAACCTTGCCTGCAAGCTCATCATCGGGCTCACATCTTCCCCCAGATAAGGAGCAGAAGAAGCAGGTGAAGAGTCCAAAATATGGCCTTATGGTTCCCAGGAACAAGAGGACCAGCCTTGAGTACTGGAGAACAGGAGCAGGCTCAGGACTGGCCCGTGGCTGTGGCTCTCCAGCCTGGAGACATGAGTCATCAGCACAGTAGCCACTTGTCACCCTCTGTCTCGTCAGCTTCTGGCCTCAGCGTGATTCTGCAAAAAGCACCCTGTGGGGACCAGCAATTCTGAGCCCTTGGGGTCCTGCCACTGACACAGCCATGGCTCATTCAAGAACGGAGTACAGAGTGGTCAACTCCAAACCAGACTCAACAGCTAGAGAATCCTGGGCCTTCCAGACCCAGGGGAAAATGGCTATGGCCTAACCTGCCCCATTGGGATGACCCAGGTGGCTTCTGATGAACAGGGCCTAGTCGCCTTTTGGAGGTCGTGTGGGTTGAGGAAGAGGCTACAAGTGTCTGGGACCCTTGGAGAACTGGGGTGCTCTTTCTGCCCAAGGCAGGGTTCCAGACTCCTTCCTTATGGAGTCACCAGGCCAGGAGCCTCTGAGCCAGGAGTCTCTTCTCCCAACATCAGGGGACACATTCTCCATGCTAATGACCCCTGTGTAACAGCATGACCTGGAGAAGCTGAACCCACTGTGACAGCAGCCCAGGAGGCCTGAGCTGCAAGAAGGCATGTGGGCATCTGGCCAGCCAGGTGTGCCACCAGGGCCACCTGGACATTCTGGGCTGTCTCCACCCACTGGCATCCTGGTCTGTGGTCAGAAGTGCCCTGGGGTCCTCTCGCGGGCTCAGGCCATGAGATGCTGGATTTTGAGATGGGGCAGGGGAGGATGGAAGGCAAAGAAAGAGGGAAGAAGAGCAGGAACCTGGTGCCCACACACCCAGGACACTGCACAGAGGTGATCATGGGCCTGGTCCCTTGGCTGGGCCCACACTCCTGAACTGTCCCAAAGGCCACATGTACCCAGCCACTGCTGCTCCTCCAGTCCTCCCCTGGTCCACGCTGGGCACAGGGCAATCTCAGGAAGTGATGGAGCACCCTGAGCCGGGTCTCTGGCTGCAGCTGGCGGCTGTGGCACCTCCAGCCCCTTGCAAGGGACTCAGGGACCCTGTGTGGCAGCTCGGCTCCAGGGGTCACAAAATCAAAGGCATTCTGAAACCATTTAATACAGAATCAACAAGGGGCAGAAGTTCCAGGGTTCCCTCAAGAAGGCAGGAGGGGTATGTGGCAGCCCACAGGTGCCTGGGTTCATGTCCTACATCATCTCCTGCTCTGAGGGTGCCCATAGCAACTGTGGCAGTGGGCTGGCTCCTTGGCCGAGTTGAGCAAGGGTGAGGCCGCTCAGGGAGGGGAGAGGAGCTCCAGAGAGGAGCCTTGTCAATCGGGGAGGCCGCGGGGCATAGAGAAGCTAGATGCTGGCTGAGATGAGCTAGGGTGAGGCCGCTCAGGGAGGGGGAGAAGAACTCCAGAGAGGAGCCTTGTCAATCGGGGAGGCCACCAGGCACAGAGAAGCTAGATTCTGGCCAAGCTGAGGCCTCAGGGAGGGGGAGAGGAGCTCCAGAGAGGAGCCTAGTTAATCGGGGAGGCCACCAGGCATAGAGAAGCTAGATTCTGGCCAAGCTGAGGTCTCAGGTAGGGGGAAAGGAGCTCATGAGAGAAGCCTTGTCAAAGAGGGAGGCGCTGGGCATAGAGAAGCTAGATTCTGGCCAAGCTGAGGCCTCAGGTAGGAGGAGAGGAGCTCATGAGAGAAGCCTTGTCAATGAGGGAGGCGTTGGGCATAGAGAAGCTAGATGCTGGCTGAGATGAGCTAGGGTGGGCTCAGGGAGGGGGAGAGGAGCTCCAGAGAGGAGCCTTGTCAATCGAGGAGGCCACCAGGCATAGAGAAGCTAGACTCTGGCTGAGTTGAGCTAGGGTGAGGCCTCAGCATGGGGGAGAGGCGCTCTAGAGAGGAGCCTTGTCCATCGGGGTGGCCGCTGTGCTTAGACAGGCTAGGCTTCTGGCCCGTCTGAGCTGGACACCTGGTGGGCTGTTCTTCCCCTCCGGATGCCCACACACATCCAGCTCCTCCATGGAGTGGGCAGCAAGGAGGCCTCGAGCCAGGGTGGGGACACGGGCCTGGTCTCCCAGCACAGGGCTGGCTCCTGCAGGCTCCAGCCCGTGAGTGTCCCCAGAGTGCATGGGGCTCCCATGCAGGGAGGGTGTCTTCAGCCCTGCTCCCAGGGCTGGCACAGCCTGCATGGGCCTGGGATCCAGAGGCTCTGAGGCAGGTGGGGGAGGGGCCCTGAGACCCTGCTGGCCACCCAGCTCCAGGGGCCAGAAATCAGCGCCTTTGACAGGCGGGCTGAGATGTGGGAGGCCCCCCCATCGGGACAGGTCTCCCCTGCTCTGCAAGCTCTGTGGGGCCGAGAGGCCCGGGCCACGCAGAGACTCTGAGGACTTCACAGACAGGGCTGGGGACGAGGGCTCCAGGGAGGCGCCCTCTTCACAGCCTCCCTCCTCGTCCTCTTCAAAAATTGTCTCGGGCAGGACGAATCTCAGGTCCTGCAGCAGCTTTGGCCAGGGAGACGCAGGACACTCAGCAGCCCGGTCTTCCTCCTCTTCCTCCTCCTCTTCGTCCTCTTCCTGCCTCTCCAGGCCGCTGTAGTACTCCTCGTCCTCAGAGTCGGAGTCATCTTGGAAGGTCACGTTGAGTTTGGTCAGGGAAGTCCAGCGCCGGAGGGGGCCTGGCTCGTCCAGCCAGGAGCACTGTGGGCCCGAGAGGTGGGGGGCGCCCCCTGACCCTGAGGCCCCCATGGAGGAGCCCGGGCCGCGGGGCTGGGTGCCGCTCTCGCCATGACTGCCCTTCTGCTCCTTGGCGTGTTGGTTGGTTTCGGGCTGGACGGCAGATCCCAGAGGACCAGTCTCCTCGGGGACAGAAGCTGAAGCCCCCGCTGGCTCCTGGGGAGCTGCAGCAGCAGGGTGACAGCCTTTGCGCTCAACGATGGTCTTGAGGGACACTGGTGGGGGAGCGCGCTCCTGAGAGCCAGGCGGCACCAGCAGGGCCGGGCTGCCATCTTCGGTTGGCTTTTCTGGAAAAAGAACAGATGGGTTTTGTTTCTTCACGGCCACCATCTGGCCAGCAGGGTGCCTGCCCTGACCTGACCCTTGAGGTCCCCATCACTCGGTGTGATGCTCAGGACACCTCCAGCCTGCTGGCCACAGAAGGAATGGGGCATGCAGCCTGGGCCATGGGAATGACAGGGACACCTCAGAACTGCTGAGCCCATGGAGGACAAGGAGGACTAGGAAGAGGGGAGGCCCTGGGCGGGCTGCCAGGGCCTGGGTCTCCCGCTACTGACTCCCCCAAGGGAGCATGGGACGGGGCCGTGTGCTGGACTCACCTTCGGGAGGCAGGAGGCACTGGAGCTTCCCCAGCTCACGCCTGGAGGCCCGCAGCTGCCTGATGACCGCATCCTCGCTCAGTGACCAGGCCTGCTTCAGGGTCACCTGCAGGAACTCCCGGATGTGGTCTCTGGACATCTTCAGCAGGCGCTCTAGACATGGGGGTGGGCATCAGGCTAGGAGGAGCCCTAGGGATGGCGCAGCCACCATGGCTGCTCCAACCCTTGTTCCTGCTGCAACCCCTGACCCTGGCCCTGTCCCCCACTTGCTGGCCCTGAGGCTCAGCCTCAGCTTGGACCACTCTCAGCAGGATAGGGCCTGCATGGTCTGCACAGCAGGCTCCTTCCTGTGTCTGCTGGGGCTGGGGGAGCTCAGCCCTGCTCAGTCACAGGACACAAGAGAGCCAGGCACTGGGGAAGGAGCACATGCAGGAACTCCTGGATGTGGTCCTGGGGCATCTTCAACACGGGCTCTAGACATGGGGGTGGGCGTCAGGCTGGGAGGCACCATTTTTTGGGGTTGGGGATGAAACGGGATTCGCAATGCCCCCTAAGCTGGCCAAGAACTCAGAAAACTCGTCCCTCCCCTAGGTTCTGCTCACCCGGGCCAAGCATGGGACCCCCCCAACTCCTCCATCCCCAGCACCCAGGCCTCTGTGGGCCCTGAGGACTTACTTCGGTGGACCTTGAGGACGGTGTACACCATGCCGGTGAGTACCTGCGCGCCCTCAAGGATGTAAATATCCCACATCCGAAGTGCCAGGGGGAACGGCACCTGCGGGACAGAGGCATTGGAGGACCCCGCGCGTCAGGGCCTCAGCAGGGCCCACCGTGGGTGGGTGTGCAGTGTCATAGGGCATCCTAGCTGTGTCCTAGAAGCCCAGAGAGAAAGAGCACCAAGGCCTATCCAGGACCCCGGGGCCACGCAGACTGCTCTGCACACTTTGGAAGCCACCCTGGAGATGCCAGACAGCCCAGGGACCTGAGGGAGGGGTCAGCCCTTGGGCTGTGCTGAAAGCAGCCTGTGGCACCCAGGGTCTGTGGATCTCCTGCCTCTCACTGTAGGGTTCTGGCCTTTGGCAGGCTCTCAGGATGGGTCCTGGTGGGACCTGTCCCCTCCTTGCTGGCCCTGAGGCTCAGCCTCAGCTTGGACCACCCTCAGCAGGACAGGGCCTGCCTGGTCTGCATAGCAGACTCCCTCCTGTGTCTGCTGGGGCTGGGGGAGCTCAGAGTCAGAGGCCACCACGACAGGAGAGCCAGGCACTGGGGCAGGAGCTTCCCTGGGCAAGGGGTCCCTGGGGCACTTACCCCATCCAGGAAGCACTGGATGTACCATTGTGCGGTGTAGTCCTCAAGGTACACAACCTCCTTCTCCTAAGAAGAGGCAGAGTGGGCTCAGGGCCCAGGGCCCAGGCCTGACTCGCTCTAATCTGAGCCCTGTGGCAGAGCCCCTGGGTCAGGAAGCCCAAGAGCAGGTGCATCCCCTCTCCCAGCCATGCAGATTCCTGAAGGGACACAGGTCCCTCAGTCCACTCTGCCCTGGGGACAGCATCTCCCTGCAATCTACGCAAATTCTGGGGGACCAAGTGCTGGAAATCAAACCAGCACCCAAGCTGCCGCGGCCCCCAGTAACCAAGAAAAGCCTTGGTGAGGACGTAGCCTCCCCTGGCCCAGGAAGCAGTCAGGACCCCTTTCTGACCTCCCCTCTCTGAGCACAGAGCTCCCGAGGGGAGAAAGGAGATGTTTACTTACCAGGTGTTTCTCCAGGGAGGGCAGCACGCGATGCATGATGTCTCCCAGGTGGTGCTGGAATCGCTCCAGTTTTGGGGAGTCTGGTGTGTAGAAATCTGAGTAATAGCAACCCCCCAGCCCTCATTCAGAGTGTCTTCCCAGGAAGGCTAGAAAGCCAAAGGCTTGGGGCTGGGTCTTGCTGAGTACGGAGGGTCAGGGGAGGCTCTAACAGGCAGGGGAGCATCAGGGGAAGGGGGGTACAGCTGACAGCCCAGGGCAGGTTGCACTCACACTGGGTGCCTCAGGGCCATCTGGACACTCAGGGTGAGGAGGGGCCACCCTAGAATGGATGCTCCTTCTGCAAGGGTGTGGTGCAGTGGGTGGGAGTCTGACTAGAGATGTGAAGCAGTAAGGCCAGTAGGGACCTAAGGGTCATTTGTCAAAGACAAGGCACAGGACCTTTGTGTGATGGCAAGTGAGGGGTATGGCTTGGTATTGGGCCCTCTGCCGGCCCTGGCTTCTAAGGAAGTATTCTGAGGGAGACCGCCCTATGCACGCAGCAGCCAGCGAGGGACAATGTCCCAGTCACTTGTCTGCATGCCCATCCCTGCACTTGCAGGACCACGCCCACCACACCCATCACCCACCATGCATCGCGTGCTGGCTGTCCCCATGAGCTGGACTAGGGCCCAGAAAGCATCCTCTTCACTCAGCCACATCAGCAGCAGGGCTGCCACATGGCTTAGGCCCTGGCTGTAGCCCAATTCCTGGAAGAGCACAAAACACATCAGAGGGACCTCCCTGGCTGGGATGATCTCAAGTGGCAAGGGTGACCTCTCCTGGGAGGGCTGAGCATTACTACGAGGCCCCACTGCTGCCCCTTGGGTGTCAGGATCTCAGGGACTGGAGCACACGCCGGCTCTCAAAGTTCCTGCAGAGAATCCTGCAGGGTCTGAGCGCAGGCTGCGCAGGGTTAAGAAGAGGTATGAGCCCCACCCCAGATGTCAGGAAGGGGAAGACTGTTGTGGGAGTGCAGACTGCACTCCCGTGACGGCCTCTGGAGCTCTCTGCTGCACAGGGGCCCTGCTGGGCCCCACTGCAGACGTCAGGAAGAAGCACCATAGTAAGGCCTGCCTGGGCCAGAACAGAGCCCAGCCCAGGAGAAGGCTTCCGTTCTGCCCCCAGAACTTGAGGTTGTGGCCAAGGAGGCCATGAGCTTGAACTCTACCCCTCAGTCTCTGCCTTGTGGATTAGAGAGGCCCCCTCAACCCAGGCTGGGATCTCAGTGACCAGGGGCGCCCTGCATGGACAGCTCTGGGTATGACCTTGGAACGTTATCACAGAATACTCACGGGGTTGTACATCGAGTATGCGAGGAGCACCTCGAATAAGGAGCGTTGTCTGGAAGAGAGAGGACAGAGGCTGTGCGTCCTGTGCTGCCGAGGCTCTCAGTGTGGCTCTGCCTAACAGAGCCTGACAGCCACACGCAGCACCCGTGACACTCTGCTCATGAGCAGTGACGTCGTCAGGGCACCTGCGTGTGGTCCACCGTGTGGGTGAGCGCTGCCTGCAGGGACATGCACATCCCCAGGGTGCAGTCACGTGCAGTTTCGTTTCCCCAGGTGGGTGTTCATTGCACAGGTGAGCGTCCCACTGTGGGAGGTGCAGTCCCGTGGGTCTAAGCCGTGGAGAGTCAGCCTCCCATGCACGTTCAGCCTGGTAGGGAGCAGCTCCTGTGGCCTATGTGTTCCCCATGTGCCCCTGTGGCCAAACTCCCTACCTCCCCCAGCCCGTGGCCACCACTGCCCTGTTGTGTGTCCCGGAGTTTGGCCTCTTGCAGACGTCCTGTGAGTGGATCACAGCACGTGTAGCCTTTGAGGGACGCGTCCTCTCTTAGCAGAATGCACCTGAGATGCATCCAGGTGATCCCAGGGCCGAGCCTCGTCCTGCCTCTCACTGAATCCCATTCTAGGATTCAGCTGCGACACGGGTTGCTTATCCATTCCCCACTGAGCATCGTGCAGGCTACGCCTGCGTCCAGTGACTTTGAACACAACCCTGAATCTTTCATGAGGGTTTTCTTGCACTCAGCTGTTCTAGTAGTTGTGTGAATGTGCGTGTGTGCTGGGGGTTCATGTGGAAGGTGTGTGTCTCTCATTGTGAGAAACGGCCCTGGGTGCTGCCGGGGGCCTGGGCCACTGTGCTCTGTTCCTGCAATGAACTGGAGTGGCGCTCGCCTCACCTTCTCCCCAGTACACGGCGTCCTCGGTGGTCTTAGTTCCCCCATTCTCACAGCTGTGCACTGGTGCCCCGTTGTGGTTTAGGTACTAAGCGTACGTTCACGCGTTGAGTAGGAGAGTTGTGTGTGCAGTCATGAAGGGGCCCTCCTGAGCCTTGGCCCATGTCAGGGCAGGGAACCCTCATTTGCTTTCTTATTATTGAGATTTATAACTTCATTTTCTGTATTTTGTAAATACTGTCTCCCCTTGTGTTCCTTTTCATTTCATTCCCACCAAAGTGTCTTTGGGAAAGCGAACTGTTCAGTATAAATAGAAGGCCATGGATCCATTTTTTTCTGTCCTAGAGGAATTATGCTTTAGGTGTGAGCCCACGTCTCTCCTAGGACCCCATGTGTCCCAGGACCCTTGCACCTCCCTCCCCCCGGGCCCCTCGAGCCCAGAGGCCTCACTTGGCTCCGTATCGCTCTCGAAACATGATGTGACTTCTGAACGTGCGTGCTACCTCTTCATCGATCTGTTGGACTTGATCTGAGCACAACCTGGCCCGTTCCTTCATCTCCTGCAGGGCAGGGCCGAGGGGGAGGGGCCGGCCTCAGGACGAGCCAACCCCCACTGCCACACAAGCACCCCAAAGCCACAGCAGCCCTTCTGGTTGGCAGGGAGAGTTTTTCTGGGGGCAGCTCATTCCCCTGATCCAGGGAGGGTCATGGGTTCCCCACTCACCTTAGGGCCCATGCCACCCCCAGTATCCAGCAGAGGGGGCCACTGCGGACCCACTACAGTCAGCCTGAGGCCAGGGGCTCTGCCAATGTCCTGTGCTACCTCTGCCTTCCCAGAGCAGCAGAGACCCAATCAGGCCTCCGAGCCTCCTCACTGGGCTCTCAGGCCCCTCAGGACAGGAGTCAGCCTCACCCTGACCAGCCTTCAGGGCTGCCCCCTGCAGGAGAGCCCCAGCTCCATCAAGAGAGTGGACACCATTCTTGGACTTGGAGCTGGCCCCAGAGGCAGCCCCCACTTGAAGACTTGGGGGAGGGCAGGACTGGCAGCTCAGTTGCTCCTTGCTCCCTGATGTCAGCCAGGGAGATGACAGTCAGCCCCGGGCCAGCCCTCTGATGGATCAGCCCGCATTCCCAGAAGCAGTTGAGAGCTGACTCTGACCGATGGAACCAGCAGGCCAGGTCGGGGCTGGGTGAGCTGAGGCCTGGCCAGGCCAGGCATGAGAAGGCCCAGGTGAGGGTAGGGCCCGGCGAGCATAAGAAACGCACAAGCAGGGTCAGGTGTGGGGAGGGCCATTTAGAACAGAGCCAGCTGCGGGCCCTAGCACACAGGACTTCCACCTCATTCCAGGCCATCTCTATCCATTCAGGACCCAGCATAATGGCACTGGGCAGTCCTGGGCCTAGAGCAAAGGCAGGACCACAGGGATGAGGGCTGTGGCCCTGACGGGAACCTTATGTCCAGGCCCATTTGTGTGGGGGAGACGTGGAGGAGGCAGAGGGGAGGGCCGGGTGGGGGCCCCAAGCAAATGACCACTCCTCCTTGGCATTACTTGTCCACCACATGGGAGCCTTACGCTCCTGAGCAGGCCCGAGCGGGTCGGCCTGCCTCAGATTGCACACAGAGCCATACCTCGAATTTGCCAGGGTTCTGGGCCTTCCTGGTATCCACGGAGAGCATCATGGCCCACACCTTGCCACGCACCTGGGCGGGGATGCCTTTCTCAATTCTCCGGTGGAACTACAGGAGAGAGGAGGCTCTGGTGAGACCCGCCCCAGGCCCTCTGTCGGGGGGAGGGGGAGCGCAGGGTGAGACAGCAGGAAGGGGAGCCCTGGGCTCTGTGCCGTGTCCCCAGATCTGCCTGGACCTGGGCCTCCTGACCCAACAGTGAGAGGAGGGCCGAGGGCTCAGTGCAGGCTCTGTCGTGCACTCACTGGCCCCACAGGGCACCAGGAACTGTGCCTGCCCTGCATCTGGGAGTGGCCCCGGGGGAGACTTTGGATCTTCTACTGCGACAGTGTCCTGGGTGCACGGGCATGGGGCTGAGATGACCTGTGTCCTTTCAGGGCAGGACAGTTGTGTCTGAGAGGCACAGCGATGGGCACCGTCCATCCCAACTCCGCCCCCAGTGGTCCCCAGGGGCCCTCAGGTCCAGGCACCTTCTCGCTACTGCGGTACTTGGTGAAATTTCGCAGCATCTTATTCCATTTTTGCAGTCGGCGGCCCTCCTGATGTTTACGCTGTGAATGGAGACAGGTTGGCGTGAGCCGAGCAGTGTCCTCTGAGAGAGGCCACGGGTACAGCTCAGGAGCCTGTGGACAACTCAGCTGGGAGGAGCCAGCAAAGGGGCAGACCACAGCACCCAGACCTTCCAACTAGGGGAGCCTCAGGGGCTTGGGCTCTGCCCACAGGATAAGCCATCCTCAAGCCAGTCCCATCGCATCCAGGAAAGTGGGTCACAGTGGCCCACAGGCGGGGACCCCAGAGCTGCAGGCCTGTACTGGGGCGTGTGGGCCTCAACAGATCTCCTGGGGCCTGCTGTCCCTGGAGGACCATATGGCACTCCGCTAACCACTGCCCATACCCACAGGCCTGCTAGTTCTGCCTCCTAGATGAAGAGTCCATGGCCAAGGTCAGCTTACCCATTGCACTGCCAGGCATCCATGCCTGGGTGGCTTCTGCTTACTGAAAGGCAAGAGAGAGAACACCATGAGAATGGGCACTGAACCACGCATGGTCCACTTCCCAGCAAGGCTGGGACAGGACCTGTGTCCTCCTCACCCTGCTGAGGTGAGCCCAGGGCACAAAGAAGGGCAGGGAGGGGGCAGCCATGCTGCAGGCAGACACCCAGCAGGGGCTGGATCGTGAGCACAGGGAGACCAGGGCCGGGTAGGAGCCCTTTCTGCCAGTGCTGTGAGTGTGCAGCTGGGGCTCGAGGCACCTGGGACCACCACACCCGCCCAGGGTACCCCCCACCCTCCCTCCCCACCATGTACTGGCCCCCTGAGGTGCCTGCTTTCCATCTCACCCTCCTCTGTAAGCCCGGACCGTGGGCATCTCTCCACCACTTGGCTCCTGCTTTTTCTCCAGGTTCTGGCACAACATGGAGCCAGAAACACCCATCCCCGAGCTTAGGTGGCCAAGAAGGCTCCATCCCTCTAGGTCACCGGAGCCCACGCTCCAGCCACGGGACCTCTCTCCCTGACATCTGTGGGAACAGCCTCCAAGTCTGTCTCCTGCCCTCAGGTCCCACTCCTCCCAGCACAGTGCCCTCAGCTGCAGACCCCTCTGTCCTGGTCTGTACTGGGGAAGCCTGCAGGCAGGTTTGGAGCCTTGAGGTCCCAACCCTGGCCGTCCCTCAGGCCAGGCCTTTAAGCCTTTAGCTTGGCCCCTGAGACCCAGGTACCTCCTGGACAAGTGCCACCTTCTAGGCTGGTGCCCCAACCCTGTGGCCACAGCTCTGGAATGCTGATGGCCCGGTTGTGTCCCCTAGGAGCAGGGCAGGACCCTCAAGCCACCCCCTCTACGTGGGTGGATCCTCCCGTGGGTGGATCAGGCTGCAGAGGACTCACCAAAGGAATCCAAGTTTGTCTGGGACGAGGGCTCCACTCTCGTCCTCTTCTCCCAGGTGAAACTGGGGCACTTTACGAGGACCCTGCAGGGGAGAGGGGACCCAGGTGAGAAGTCCGGGTCTCAGTCACAGGGGGAGCCGAAACACCCTCCCCGCTGTGTCCCCAGGGAGGTGGGGTCTGGCTCTCACAAGCACAGTACTTGAGGCAGGGCCCCACCTCCTCCCCCAGCACCCTGGCCCGTACCTGCTCATATTTCAAGATGATTCCTGCTCGCTCCTGGGCCCTGCCGGACCTCAGGGCGTCCATATCCAATCTGTGAGACACATACGCACATGTGAGCCAGCACAGGGAGCCCACGGGAACTGCTGCCCTGAGGGCTGTCCCCCTGGTCAGAGCCACATAGGCAGGTGGGCGGGCACCTGGTGGTCGGGTCCCAGGAGGATGACTTGTCCAGAGCACAGGGACTAGGGACGGTTGAGCAAGACAGCCCCTGGCTAGCCTCCCCTGCCCTAAGGTAGGACGCTCTTCCTCCAGCCTGGCATCTATGTGTCCTCCAGGGAGCCCAAGTCTAAGGGTCTCCCTGACCTGCTCTCAGCCCCCACATCTCTAGGGCTCTCAGAGCCGTCCTCCCTGCCCCACCTGATACCAGCTGATCCAACACCTAGTCTTGAACCCATGTCCAGACACAGACACACACCAAGGCCCATTCACCACTGATGCCCAGCAGAGCGGGAGGACTGAGACGACTGTATACATGCTCTGCACACGGGCACCACTGAGAGCTCAGCCACATCACTTATGGAACCCGGTGTGGGAGACCAGTGTCATCCACCTGGCGTGACCTTCCCCACATCACAGCTCATGCAGAGAGCCAGTCCCACTCACCTCCGTCGCGAATCCATTGGATTCTGTTAAAAGTGCATCCTGCCTACGCTACCCACACCTGGTCAGTTGGGCAGTAGAAGCACTACTGACCACTGGTTGCTGACAACCCAGAGTGCACAGTTCTCAGTGACTGTGATGTCACAGAATCCTGCTAGCCAATCCCAAGTGACGTGCAGCTGTGGCAAGGGGTCAGGGTCCTCAGCTCTGGCTTCATCAAAATTCACCAAAAATGGGGCCTGTGTTCTCCCCAGGCCCCAGGTGAAGAGGGCAGGGTTCTGGCAGAACTGCCCCAGAACCAGGGGTGCCAGGGCCCTCTGCCACCTGCCGTAACGGTCCCAAGTCCCAGGCAACCTGCACCTCCTGCCCTCCTCTAAAACACAACTTTATTACAGCCCAACTGTGAAGGTCTCTTTATTTGAACACAAGGTGGCACAGGGAGCCCCATCATGGCCTGTCCTTCTTGCTGAGGTCCCCACACTCGGGGCTGCCCCTGCAATGACCTGAACGGAGACTCCCAGGGCTGCAGCCTCCTGTCCTACCACAGGCCCCACCCCAGCCCTGCCAACCCCTGCTGACCCCTCCTGCTCTGTTCCAGCCCTTCTTCCCAGGAGTTTTAGGAGGTGGACACAGGGGGTCCTCCTGGGATGGGGGTAGGGGAGCCGCCCGCTGAGCACCACCTGCATAGGACCTCAAGCCGGCCTGGCCCAGACTGTCCAGAGCGGGAACCAGGGCCCTGTCCTGACACTGGCCAGGGAGGGCTTCAGGCACAGAGCACTGAGAACTCCTTGGCACCAGCTCCTGAGCCGCATGCTGGTAACACCGGGCTGCTGCTGACCTTAAGGACATGGACAGCACATGTCAGGCAGGAGCAGCCACAGGCCCGCAGCTCCCCAGGGTGCTGATCACCAGGTTGCTCCCTGCAGGGAAAGCGACTCAGCCCTCCCCCAGCACCTCCTTGGTCCTGGGCCCCACACTGCCCCTAGGCTGCCACCTTGGGGCCACAGTCGGTTCTTTTCCCTCAAGGGCCGTTGCTCTGCCTCTCTGCCCACTTCCCTTGCCCTGGCATGGGGACCACAGTGTCCAGGGCCCTGGTCACCACACCAACACACCTGCTGGCCTCCTCTGCAGGTGAGGACGAGTACACAGCTGTGTCATGTGCAGAGATGCTGTCCAGCAAGACTTGGGTTTTAACTGATTCTGTTATTCCCCTCCCCACTCAGCTTCTCCTCTTTTAAATATCATTGTACACTCTTTTGGAGATTCACAAAGTACTGTAAAATAACACAATGAATGATGAGTGGGGATCACCCAGCTTCAGCAGTCAAATATTCTTAATTGTGTGGAAGCTGCCCATGGGTTTCCTTTCTCTGCCTGAGTTCATTCTCCAGATTCCCTAGGGTTCGTGGTCTCCAGATTGCATTTTCCTCCACTCGGGGTGAGGTTTGCTCCCCAGAGTCCATGTGCTGGGAGCATGGGCCCCAATCCAGCTCCTGAATGCACTGAGGCTGGCCTCCTGGGGTGGCTTAGGGTACACAGGGATTAGTTCCCATTGTTGTTGCTACAAATGTTTCTTTATTATTAGAGGGTTGTTACAAATTTTTAATTCATGGATCTTGGCGGGTGGTTGCTTGCTTCCACTGTTCCACTTACCAGAGGCCTGCAGTGGCCAGTAGCTGCAGCTGGATCTCAACCCCAATCTCCCACGTGGGTGGCAGGAACCCAGTACTTGAGGCATCCTCACTGCCTCCCAGGGTGCACGTGCATAAGAAGCTGGACTCAGGAGCCAAGGCTGGGGATGGACCCCGGGTGGTGCAGTATGGGATGCAGGTGTCCCAGTGGTGTCTTCCCCGCTTTGCCTGCCCTGGGGTTGTTATTAGGGATAGGGCCTGGTCCTCACGCCCATCTCTCTCGGGCTCCTGCGGAGTGATGCCGTTTCCAGAGTCACACATGCCCATATCGACTCTGAGCCAGGCCCATGATTTTGCTTTGGCCAAGGGCACACCAACCAATGTGATGTGGGCAGAGGCTGGACAGGTATGCACCCGTCACAGTGTGAGGCCAGCCGAGACCACGTGAAGGAGCACTGAAGCACCCAACTGTCCAGCCATGATCACCAGACACTCGAGTGAGGCCATCAAGGTGCGCACCAGTCCCCAGTTGACCTCCCATGACCACAGGTGCAGGGCACTTTCTGCCCTGGCAATGGAGCTGTGCTGGGGTTGCCTCCACGTGTGCTGGAGGGCCTGGCTGTCAGGGTGCTTCCTCACCACTCACCTCCTAAGGAGAGGGACGCTTCTGGTCTGCAGTGGTTTTTTTTGGGGGGGGGGCAGGGTCTCTGCCATGAATGCTCTCTCTGCACGTGGTGGATGGTGGTTTGGGTACTGGCCACGCCTATGCCTCAGTTTGCTGTGTAGAACCTGCTACTCTTGGAGTATGTCAGCAGGGTAGCCCCACACGACCTCAGCTGCCTCTGCATGCAGAAGTCACAGCTGCCCGGTCACCCCTGTTCCCTCCCACGGAACAGTTGTATGCCTGTGCCTGCGTTTCACATGTGCACACCCCAGGTCCTGCCCAGCTTTGTGGCAGATCATCTTCTGTGCACATCCAAGATGGCACTTGCTCTTGAAGTGAGCTTCCCCATTCACTTCCAGGCTCAGGAGGCAGGCCACTAAGAATGCATGGGCAGCGGGCACTCCTGGCTAAAAGGGTGTTAAATACTCACGTACCTCAGCTCTGCCAAGGAGCAGGGATAAATATGGCAGGTAGGAAACGGGCCTAAATTGCTCTTGATGACTCTATTCAATAATGTTGGTCTTTTCCTTCCAGTCCCACATAACAACAGTCATTTTCAAAATGGGGTGATGCAGTTGTTTTTAAGGAGGAATTGATAGTTGTGACCTATAGAGCAGTAATTTGCCAAATGTTCTTTCTTTAAGCTGTTTGCTGGGAGATGCAGGAAGCCCACGAGTGCAGAACTTGAGGTGAAAAATGGCTGTACCTGACGATAGTGCCAAGTGCGGAGGGCAGTGCCAACCTTGGCGGTTGATGTTCAGAGGCAGAGCTGAGGCCAGCGAGAGGAAGAATCGGGAGCTTGCACCCCAGACAACTAGGCTCAGAAGGTACTGAATAAACCTTATTTCACTTTGCAAGTGCATTTTACCTAGCTGTCTCTGCACTTCAGAGCCCCACAATAGGATTCTAACCCGGAAGTCACTGATTATTGTCATTGGACAGGAGGGATGGTGGCTCCAAGAACCACTCATCAGAGTGCCTGACAAATGCTCTGAGTGCACCCAAACAATGCTGAGCCCTTAGATTCCTTATGCAAATTCAGAAGCAGCAGCCCAGGCACTCTGCTTGGGACTGGGTTCACTTCGAGATCCCAGGTGCATGTGATCCATTCTTTGCTCTCTCGTGCTGCTGGATGTCGGGTGCCCAAGGTGAGAGTATGTGTGGGAGTTTTGCGTATGCTCATCTGAGACCCTGACTCTGCTCTGCTCAGGGCTGGCATTTGTTCTGGAGTTTTCCCTGCAGTCCTCCTCCCTTGCTTGCCAGTTCATGAAGGCAGAGCATCACAGGCCAGACTTGCTGGCCGGGGTGAGGGGTGGGAGACAGTGCGTCACAGGGTCCAGGGTGCAGTGGCTTCCAAGGTATCGCCCCTCCTGCCTTTGAATTTCCTGAAGCCCAGAGCACTCAAGACCTTTTGTTAAAGGCCTTTCAGGGCAACAAGAGGAGGGAGAGGGAGTAGATTTTCCATAGTCTGAGAGAGGTGATGGGAAGAAGGGTGCCCCCATTACTTAATGGCATCTTTTAGAGGGAAAAAGGCCTCAGGGGAAATAGTTCCCAGTGTGGGCCAGAGGAGAATGGCTTGCAATTCTCAGCCTTTACAAAACTCCTGCACCTTGTAATGTGCACTGCAAGGGGGTACTGCTGTTGTCCCCTGAGCCTCCTTTGGCCTTAAGCCATGGAGTTGTCAGCAGCAACCCTGTTGGGGCTGGAGGCCTCCCTGCACTTTACGGACTCTGTCTATGGGTGAACCTGGAGGAGAAGGTGGCCCCAGTGATGAATGAGTTTTTTTTAAAAAGTTTTATTTATTTGCAAGGCAGAGTCACAGAGTATGAGAGAGAGAGGGAGAGAGAAAGAGAAAGAAAGAATCTTCCCTCTGCTGATTCACTCCCCAAATTGTCGAAACAGCCAAGACTGGGACAGACAGAAGCCAGGAGCCAGGAACTCCACCCGGGTTTCTCACATGAGTTTCGGGGGCACAAGCACTTGGGCCATCTTCCACTGCCTCCCTAGGCACATTAGTAGGGAGCTGGATCAAAAGCATAGCAGGTGGGACTGAGACCAGACTCCAATATGGAGTACCAGGGTTGCAAGCAGTGGCATAACCTGCTGTGCCATAATGCTGGTCCCACAAAGGATATTCAGTTCCTTTTTTTTCTGCCAATATTTTATTATATCAATGGCACTACATTTAAATGGCATGAAGGCCATTCAATGTAGTTCCATGGAATAAAATTCAAGGATTTGAAAATGCAGGGGCTCATGGAGAATGTAATTAAAAGCTGTCTATTTGGGTGCAAGCTTTTTGAAATCCATGCATAGTTTGTTAATCATACGTACATTTTCCATGAACTGTTTGAAGACCTGTCACCCACAGCAGCGAGCTGGGTGAGGAAGGGCAAGGCTCCTCCCACAAGTGGAGGCCTCCTAGAGGGAATGAGCTGTGGGTCATGGGTCAGCCTCTGTGTCCTGGGGCTGTCATGGAAGGACCTCTTGGGGAGTCAGCAGGGGAGGCTCAGGAGGCTGCTGGGGCAGAGGGCAGGGCTGCAGCGTGAGGGAGAAGCTGACATAGGCAGCAGTGTGCTCAGACGGAGGGGCAGCTTCCTGCTTCTCAGTTCCCATGCCTGATGTCCATCCTCCAGGGGATGACTTCAGTGGAGGGTACAATTCCTGTCCTATGAAACAGCTCCATCCCCTTGTGGTCCTGTCAAATAAAAGAGAACCCAAATAGGAATCTGGGCTGGGGTAACCCAAACACTCTCAATGATGAGATTCTTAATCATTGCCAACAGCAGGAGGCATGTTGGTGCTGACCCCTCCCCACACGTCCTCCTGTTGCATCACCCCACTGCCACCTGTACTGCTTGCTGGTTTGGTGCCAGTGCCCGGCCATCATCCTCTGCCTCACTCAGGGTGAGCTCGGTTGCTACAGCAACAATACCCTGGGATCTCAGTGGTGTAAACAAGCACATCCATTTCTCTCTCAGCTTGTAGGCTGGTGGGGAGCTCTGCTCTCCCTCACTCAGGCAGGGAGTGGCCTCCCCCTCTCTGCTTCCCTGAGAAACAGGGCTCCTGTCCTGGCCTTTCTGCTTCAGAGGCCCCAGTGGTCAGGAGGGCCTTCCTGGAAAATCATCTGTGTCCCACCCTGTGGACTGTGACCAGTCAGGGGTATCAGGGCAGCCTGCATCCATGTCTGGTTCCAGGTGGGTTCCAGTTTCTGGAAAAGCATCCCTGGAGATTTCCTCTGTCTCTGTCCAGAGCCTGAGACCAGCAGGGTGATGGGTGGCAGCCATTTTGGTGGGAAGTGCAGCACACCAGTGGCATATGTGTTGGCCTCTATTCCAGTTTCTCCTTTTGGGGTACTTGCCAAGATTCTATCAAGTATGTGGGCTCAACAAGATGCCCTGGGGACTCTTACCTCTACGTGGCATGTATGGCATCATCCTGGACCCACTGACCAGCACTGAATTCCAGAGGCAAATGGGTCACTCTGGGTTGCTAGCATGGTGCTTGTTTGTGTGACCTTGGGACACCAAAATGGTGCAAGCATGTTGATTTGGGGTGATTCTCCCACATGTTAGATATAAAATATATTCAGAATTCTGGATACTGACAGCTTGATGCTGACTCTGGTGTTTGCCCTGTGTGTGGGTAGATCTGTGTGTCATCACACACTTCCCAACTGCAGTGCTGTCTCTGGTCCACAGCACCAAAAGGTAGCAAAGGTGGTGACCAGGTTCCTTTATCCTGTGCCTCCCCCATCCCCCTATCTCTGGTTACTAGGTGGTCACCCCAGCCCCTCTGCAGACTCTGTGCCAAATATATGGTGGTCCCTGGCTGCACCTGTATTCCCAGAGGACTTTCAAGACTATTGCGCTACAGTACAATGAGCTCCAACAGAGGCCGTTTCTTGCTGTTGATTCAGTGGTGATGTAGTGCTCTCATGTGCTGGTCTTTTTCTTTTTCTGTTTTAAAAGATTTTGTTAATTTTTTTGAGAGGCAGAGTTACAGAAAGAGAGAAGGATAGACAGAGAGAAAGGTCTTCCATCTGCTGGTTCACTCCTCATATGGCCACAATGGCCAGAGCTGAGTAGGTCTGAAGCCAGGAGCCAGGAGATGATTTCTCTGGGTCTCCCACAAGGGTGCAGGGGCCCAAGCTCTGGGGTCATCTTCTATTGCTTTCTCAGGCCATAGCAGAGAGCTGGATTGGAAGAGAAGCAGTGGGAACATGAAATGGTGCCCATATGGGATCATAGCACGGCTGGTGGAGGCTTAACCTGCTATGCCACAGTGCTGGCCCCATGGACTGGTCTTAAGTCATGCAGGATGGAGGACAGAAATTCCTTGTGAGGATGGGCTCTTTTACCTCTACCCTACCTCCCTGCTGGAGATGGCGTATGGAAGGCAGGTGTGTTATCAGTAATGATAGAGGTACCATTTGAGGAATGCAGCAATTATAGCCTAGAGTTCAATAGAAGACATGGTAGGGACATGTGCTGTTCTCCTTCGATGCTATAAAACACCAAATGCTAAATTTAACACCAACAGAAAATGAGTTATCACCCACATTTTCCTGTGCACTATGATTAAGAATTGCATTGTGTGGACATCATCAATGAAACAAAATAATGACCTCTAAGAATGCCACTGGAAGCCAGAGTTCATGGATGGTGTGTATGATAGATGATGTAATGGTCACGCATGAGTAATGATGTCACTAAGATCGAATAACTTGAGGGGCAAAATATCTATGTTATTTCACTAAATCAGTTTCCAAGGTCGATGGCCATGGCTCCTGAATAATAACAGTGCTGCTACCTTTTTCTTAATGGAGGGGATGTAAAAATGGTATACTGGACAACAAAGGACATGAAGAGATGGTATGCTCATTGGACAGAAAGCAATTCCATCCATATCCATATATACAAATATACCCAGCAATCACTAGAATCCTGAGAGTGAACATCTCCATGTCTCCCAGAAGTTTCCTTGTGCCCTTTGGCAAACTTTCTTTGCTCTGTCCCAATACTCACTCTCTCAGGGCAGCCACTGGTCTACTTTCTATCAATATACATTAATTTAAATTTCTACAATTTTCTATAAATTGAATCATACAGTATGTCCAAATATTTAAATAGACACAAACTTTTTTTGAAAGATTTATTTTATTTATTTGAAAGAGTTAGAGAGGTAGAGACAGAGAAAGAGAGAGATATCTTTCATCTGTTGGTTCACTCCCCAGATGGCCGCAACGGCCGGAGTTGTGCCGATCTGAAGCCAGAAGCCAGGAGTTTCTTCCTGGTCTCCCACACGGGTGCAGGGGCCCAAGGACTTGGGTCTTCCTCTACTGCTATCCCAGGCCATAGCAGAGAGCTGGATCGGAACTGGAGCAGCCAGGACTAGAACTGGCACCCATTTGGGATGCTGGTGCTTCAGGCCAGGGCGTTAACTTGCTGTATCACAGTGCCAGCCCCAACAGAAACTTTTAATATTTTGGGGGTAAATATTGAAGAATGGGGCCAGCGCCGCAGCTCACTAGGCTAATCTCTGCCTTGCGGCGTTGGCAAACTGGGTTCTAGTCCCGGTCGGGGCACGGGATTCTGTCCCGGGTGCCCCTCTTCCAGGCCAGCTCTCTGCTGTGGCCAGGGAGTTCAGTGGAGGATGGCCCAAGTGCTTGGGCCCTGCACCCCATGGGAGACCAGGAGAAGTACCTGACTCCTGGCTTCGGATCAGCGTGGTGCACCGGCCACAGCGGCC